GCTTGGGTGAGTTAAGAGGCTAAAAACAGACCAAACACATTTCCCCCAAACATTTCATGAGATAGGTTTAGATGACATATGATCTATCAGCTCTCACGTATCAACAAAATAAACCTGTACAGTTCATTTAGCTGTGGAATTTCTGAATGTTTACTTTCTGATTTCTCCTGATACAAACAGAAAAAGAGGAGAGAAGGGGAAGTTTTATTACTCGCACTTTCTTTAATGAACTGTTTTATATAGCTCTTTTACTTTGTCCAAGTATCCAGGCCAGAGATTTGATCTGTCCAGTAAAACAACACACCACTTGTTCACGTTATACATGGGTATATTTTTAGTTCAGGTTATTTTTACATTATTTTTAGATATAATCACTCAACTAGAGGAGAATGCAAATGACACATAATTTCTATTAGAAATGTCAGTTTTCATTGTATACATGTTCATCTGCAATTTGTTATCTCAATAAAAATTACATAGACATCTGGCATATATAAGTGCACTTTTATACAGTTAGTCAAACATGGCATTTTAGAATAGAATTGCATTGCATAATTTTGCTGTAAATAAAATTATTGCAATTACACTGTCATATAGGCTATTGTTTCCTAAAACATGATTCACTCTGAAGAGATGATTTTGCACATCATGCAGTCAAACCTGCAGTTTTTCTGTGGTATATTGTATCTGCCCTGCTGTGGCCAGTGCTGCTCTTTTATCCACAGTTCCGCTCTTCTCTGGATTAAATGCCTGTTCTTTGTCTTTCAGGTTTGACAGTGAAAAATATATACATGAATAGTACATTTGTGTATGTCAGCCAGTTGTTGAAACTTTCATGTGTGGGATGTGTGTTTGTCTCTGTGAAAGCCTGTACTTGTGCCTTGTGTGTTTTCTGATCGTGCTGTATAAAGTTAGAACTTCAGTGTTATGTGCTCTTAGTCATAACAAATTCCAATACTGTCATCATTTCATGCATGCATAAAATAAGAATAAATGGTAATTTATGCAATTACTGGAAGATCAGCACCGAAATGTTTTTCAGTAAATTTAAAATACGCCAAAATGTAATTTTAAGACCTATAAATATTGTGAAAATATTTAGCACAAAATATGCTTGTTTTTAGAGTGTGGCGCAGAAATCGGTATTTTTTGACTCAGAAGCTATTTTGTGGGAGAAACAAAAAGAGCGTTTGCCTGGAAAATGAAGCGACCCAAGTCCAAAGGATCCAAAATACGCGACTGCATTTGAAGGTGCCAACAAATACACGAGGACATGTGGATTTTGAAGAAGTCTTGTTGGAAACGGGGAAAACTTATTTAGGTTCTTTAAAATAACGTTTAACATGTTAAAAAAAAAACATTTAACAGAGCTTACGTTAGCACATAAGTAGCATCTATATTTATTTATATAGTTCTAGAGTTTTATTTATATATAGAGTTTTACCACGCGGACGAAAAGTTATTATTTCAATTAAGGAATAAAGTAAAATGAAGTGTATTTTATTTATTGAGGAAAAATAATTATGGGAACAGCATATTATAGCCTACCATACTATTCCATTTGTGTTAAAAATTATTGAAGATAAAATTATGTAATCTCATATTTATACAGATGTATTAAAAAATCATACCTCAACTTGTCTGTGAGATTTAAAATTTGCGCAGATGTAGGATATTTATAATTTAGCTTTATTCTTCATGGTCTTAAATTTAGCTTGGAACGGGCAAATTAATAAGGGCAAATAATAGCCCTAAAACATTTTTAAAACGCTTTTAAAAATATAACAAATAAACTAATTTCATGTATAGGCCTAGGCTATAGTTTCCTTTTTTATTTAAAATCTTTATATTCGTTCTTCTAAATAGGATAAACATATGCTAATCATTGCTATTTGCTATACTGACCCATGCGATTTTTATTTTAAAAACAATATTTTATATCAATTTTATTACATTTCCACTTGAGATATTTCTCAAAAAAATGCTGTCAGTTGACGGCAAATATACATGTGATGGAAAGAATAAGCAAGTCTTAAACTACAATATTTAATCAGATCACCTACATTTAAGAGTTACCAACCGCCAGTCTACTGAGAGTAGGCCTATAAGCTATTATCATTCTTGGCTCTGACCAAATAGTGTCTGATGAGGAACTCGAAACTTAAGGTTAAATATTTGGCTGTAGAGTTCAGGGAGCTTTTGCAGCTTTTTCGAGGAAGAAGAAAAGTAAGACAGCTTCGACAACTTAAAAAAAACACTATTCAATAAAGTTTACTCATTGAGCACTGCACAAGTAGGCCACACTTTGTGTACGTTGATGAAAAAGCATAGAGGCGTAAACCCCTAAGTTCAATAAACCTCTGTGCCAGCAAAAGTACAATTAATGTAAATTAGCCATTCTGAAACGTTATTCCTTGTTACGGCATTTCAAAAGAATCTGATTTTTGCAGACATGCATAAATCGTAAGTTACCTAGCCCATAAAATACAGCTCGTTTTCCTATGGGCCTACTTGACTGTCAGTTTATTTATGTTCTGAAATGCCCAAGGCGTCTTGTAACCCTTTAAAATGAGAGTAAGGTGGCGCGTAAGGACACTGCAGTTGACTGAGCACTAATGACTTAAAATAGATTAAACGCAAATTCAAGTGATAGCCTACTGGCAACACGATCTCATGTCAAAGGATGTAACGACGTTTGTTCACTTTAACATATTCCCAAAGTGAAATAATTTTTAAATAATGATTTTTCTTATTGTAAAGTTAGATGCTAATGCCCAAAGTGATATCCACACAAAACAGACGCACACGCGCACAAAACAGATTTGATTGATATAGGCCTATTGTTTATCTTGGAAACAGGTTTGGCACTACTCTCCAATCAGGTTATGAAGTTATTGGAACATGTAATGTTTGTTTTGTCATAACCGGTTTAACATTCTTAGCCTTGAATCACTATATGGGTTAATGACAAATAAGGATCTCTTGGGTTATAATTGTTTTTTTGAAGTTTAAGACAAGTGTACTAAGGTCTTATGTTGATTTCATACATTTTTATACCAATTTCTTTTTGAAAAAAATTATAAAGTGGGCTAACCATCAAGTCAAACGTAGTCTACTAAAATAGCTACTTTACTTGAACACTGAATACACTTAAATGTATTGAAAAAAAAAGTTTTAAAACATTTTTCAAGATTTTAATTTTCTTTATTTCTTTTTGGGTCATGTATCTCAATTAGTATTTTTAGGATTAGGTTCCATCTGACCTGAACAGAGATGAATGACATGATCGTCATAGCCTATATGCATGGATGCATGCATTCAATCCATTTAGCATGAATTGCATTTTAATAGGCTATATTTATTAGTAACTTTGTTGATCCGGACCAAAATGAGGGTTACGTCACTGACCCATATATAATGTAGCCTATACATATATACTGTATAAACTACGCCATCAAGTGCAGTTCTTCTAAACGAGTGGCTCCAGTGCACACACACACACACACACGTCACCCCCCGTATTTCATCAATTCCTTCTCCGCGAGGACTGTAAGATGTGTGTATGGAGCTCAGAACACCGTCTGTGTTGCTATTCGTGTTGTAAGAAACAAAAGAACAGACGAGGCATTGATTCCTCTCTGTACACAAGGACATCTATGCGCGCTTCATGTGCAATGCTGCAAAGCTATGAGACCGACAATTCAGCACTGTAAATTAAAGATACACGACCAAAACAACAGCCAGCGCCTCCAGCCAGTGCACTCTCTGCAGCAAGCCGTGCATTACTGTAAAATATTTTGTCCTTCTGTACCTTTCGGATTGGACGAGGCTCGAAGACTTTGCGTGGGACGTTTTGTATTTGGTCAGTGTCCGGGTTTATTCCTCCCATCCGAAGAGCACGGATTACTTCTTTGCGAAGATAAATGGATACGGAGTTATAAAAGCAGCCGACAAGATGACCAAGCGTTGAACAGCAGAACTACAAAAGCCTCTAAGCTGTAACTTTTTTAGGGGGAGGTTGGCTGTTTCGCTTCGAAATGGTACGTTAACAAATCAGTTTCATCATTTTTGTGTCGTTGCTCCAAAAGACGAGGGAGATCACGAGTTGTGCACTCTTAAAGTCAAATTTGATGTAATCATCAACACACAGGCGCCGTGTTTCGGTTTCCCCCCTGCTTCCTCGTTACCAGCCGGTTACTCCTTTTCTCGCTGGTTTTCGGCCAAACGTACGGTTTTGTGGGAAAGGCTTACAAATGCTGGCGTATTATTCTCGCTATTGAGACGCGCAATGATTAAGATAGCTACCAAGCGATTTGGCTTTTCTCCCGTAATGAAAGTTATTAGTTTTGTGACAGCCGAAGAAAAAAAGGTGTGTGCGTGCGTGTGTTATCCACGGGACTCTGAAGGCCAAGTTGAAGTTTAAAGCCAGTAGACGCAGATGCCCAGCAGTAGAGTTTGCTCAGCAGAAAATGGCCGCAGGCTCGCCGGCATGAATTTGACATCTACACCGACAGAGGCGCTCCCTCCCCGGCAGAAGGCTCAGATCGTGTGTTGTAGTCACAACCGGGAGTTCGGCATCATAACCGGTTTAACATTCTTAGCCTTGAATCACTATATGGGTTAATGACAAATAAGGATCTCTTGGGTTATAATTGTTTTTTTGAAGTTTAAGACAAGTGTACTAAGGTCTTATGTTGATTTCATACATTTTTATACCAATTTCTTTTTGAAAAAAATTATAAAGTGGGCTAACCATCAAGTCAAACGTAGTCTACTAAAATAGCTACTTTACTTGAACACTGAATACACTTAAATGTATTGAAAAAAAAAGTTTTAAAACATTTTTCAAGATTTTAATTTTCTTTATTTCTTTTTGGGTCATGTATCTCAATTAGTATTTTTAGGATTAGGTTCCATCTGACCTGAACAGAGATGAATGACATGATCGTCATAGCCTATATGCATGGATGCATGCATTCAATCCATTTAGCATGAATTGCATTTTAATAGGCTATATTTATTAGTAACTTTGTTGATCCGGACCAAAATGAGGGTTACGTCACTGACCCATATATAATGTAGCCTATACATATATACTGTATAAACTACGCCATCAAGTGCAGTTCTTCTAAACGAGTGGCTCCAGTGCACACACACACACACACACGTCACCCCCCGTATTTCATCAATTCCTTCTCCGCGAGGACTGTAAGATGTGTGTATGGAGCTCAGAACACCGTCTGTGTTGCTATTCGTGTTGTAAGAAACAAAAGAACAGACGAGGCATTGATTCCTCTCTGTACACAAGGACATCTATGCGCGCTTCATGTGCAATGCTGCAAAGCTATGAGACCGACAATTCAGCACTGTAAATTAAAGATACACGACCAAAACAACAGCCAGCGCCTCCAGCCAGTGCACTCTCTGCAGCAAGCCGTGCATTACTGTAAAATATTTTGTCCTTCTGTACCTTTCGGATTGGACGAGGCTCGAAGACTTTGCGTGGGACGTTTTGTATTTGGTCAGTGTCCGGGTTTATTCCTCCCATCCGAAGAGCACGGATTACTTCTTTGCGAAGATAAATGGATACGGAGTTATAAAAGCAGCCGACAAGATGACCAAGCGTTGAACAGCAGAACTACAAAAGCCTCTAAGCTGTAACTTTTTTAGGGGGAGGTTGGCTGTTTCGCTTCGAAATGGTACGTTAACAAATCAGTTTCATCATTTTTGTGTCGTTGCTCCAAAAGACGAGGGAGATCACGAGTTGTGCACTCTTAAAGTCAAATTTGATGTAATCATCAACACACAGGCGCCGTGTTTCGGTTTCCCCCCTGCTTCCTCGTTACCAGCCGGTTACTCCTTTTCTCGCTGGTTTTCGGCCAAACGTACGGTTTTGTGGGAAAGGCTTACAAATGCTGGCGTATTATTCTCGCTATTGAGACGCGCAATGATTAAGATAGCTACCAAGCGATTTGGCTTTTCTCCCGTAATGAAAGTTATTAGTTTTGTGACAGCCGAAGAAAAAAAGGTGTGTGCGTGCGTGTGTTATCCACGGGACTCTGAAGGCCAAGTTGAAGTTTAAAGCCAGTAGACGCAGATGCCCAGCAGTAGAGTTTGCTCAGCAGTAAATGGCCGCAGGCTCGCCGGCATGAATTTGACATCTACACCGACAGAGGCGCTCCCTCCCCGGCAGAAGGCTCAGATCGTGTGTTGTAGTCACAACCGGGAGTTCGGCATTGTTTCAAAAAGTGCTACAAACTGTAGTTACTTGTCACTTTCGAGTAGCAGTAGCAAACTTAATCTATAAATAAAACAAAGTAAACGGGCTTCACGAGCCTTTTAGCCAAGAAAGCTTGATACTTGATACTATGTAGCCTACTATAACTTCCATGTTTTCTTGAGCATTCTTGTATTTAATTTTGAGTAGCCTAGGCTATGTAAATACGATGCTACATGGATTTCAGCATTATGTTATGTATTAAAATACCATGATATGACATCTGACAAATGTTACTGCCACATTACCTTTTTTTTTCTAAGAGTAAGAAAAGGATCGTCTGCCCTTTAAGGGAAGACATTCAACAACGGGCTTAATAGCTATCTTAGTCACTGTTGTTGCCATACAATTTGCGCTTATATTAACAACTAATTATGATAATCTTATATAGGCTACTAAGATTTGTCCTCTGCGGGGATATTTTCAGTTTAGGTACTTTAAGGAAGACTTTCCCTCCTCTTGTCTCTTTACGTTAAATTCGTAAAACAAGTTCAAACTTTTAAAATTGTTCTATGTTTAGGGCTATATTGATACTGTATGTTCATGTGTATTGTAGCTACAACTTATTTAAATCTTTCTCTCTTTTTTAATAATATGCTAATATGTGGCCGTTTCAGAACAAATTAAGGATAAATACTTGTAATTATGGATATGGCTGTTTCTTTAATTATTGGCAAAATTATGACATTTTGAGACATCGGTGTGTCAGCAGTGAGCTCTCTCCCTGGCCATAGTTCACACCACAGTGCCTTCAGTGCATATTCAAGAGAACTAACAGGTGTTGTTTACACTGTTCGTTTTAATAGCCTGCCTGGTTTTACACTTTAATTTAAGTCAATTGACGCCTAGTTTATTTGATTCCCGTGTGGTCACTCCAACAGTGAAACTTGATTTCTACAAGGGGTTACAGGTAAAAAAAAAAAAATCCACAAGAATAGTTTTAGGGAAGCTACCACTCACCATCCGCTGTCAGTTAGTGATTATGGTTACCGAGGCGCGTTATTTTCTTGCAGTGACTTTATAAAAGCTTCTGATCGGCAACATATGCAATAGCAGAGAAAATAGCCTCAGTAAAAAAAAGCAGTAATTTAAGTAACTGACAGACAAGTCATTCCCTCGTTTACTTGAAACATCTTCTATATGTACAGTTGTAAAGGTGCATAAGCCTTATCAGGCACTGGCTATAGTATTTTTACGCGGGCTGATTTTTTTTTATCCACTCAACTTACATGAAGCGATAAGCCTTTGTCATGAATGGACGCGTGCATGTGCGCTCTCTGTGACGCAATGTCCGCGCGAGCTTGGCTCTAATCGCTACTTTAGCGGTGCGTGTTGCAGTAAAATTGTTTGGAATACGCGCGCGGGTGAAGCGCGCAGAACGTCTCTGCGTACGAACTGTAGCAGCGCCAGAGGGAAGAGCGGTGCGTGCGCACTGGCGAACAGGGGAGAAAGTCGTTTGCCACTTTGTTTCGCACCATATGAGTATCAGAAACCGAGGCAAATAACTTTTTTTTGTTAATTTCACGGATTTAACGGATGCCCCTGGACATCGGAAACCAGAGTTAGCCTCCCTTGCTCCTTCAAGTAGGCTACTTTCTTTGGGATGGGCTATTTTCATAACGTCATTTCATTCCTCCCTCTTTTTCATTTTCTCTTTCTTTGATTCTTTCTCCCACCATTTCCTAAATGGAACAGATTGCAGCACCCCACGCGTTTTCCTGCCTGCAAAGTGTGGTTTCAAACGTGTACAGAGTTTGCGCGTTCTCTTTTGCCGGGCGTCTCTTGATTTAACGGATTCGAAGTGGAAGTCAGAAGTGGCGGCGGTGGAAGTGTTAATCATGATGAGGCTTACCATGATTAACGTTGAAAAATGATCCTCTAACTTGTCGGTGTTTTGCCACATTTCAAGTCACGCTCTCGCCTTTCAACATGATGTATTCTCCTCTCTGTCTAACTCAGGTAAAGTGCTTGTTTGTCTTTCTGAACGAATTGCTCCTGATCCGCGACGAGATTTCAGTTCATAAAGGGCGGGCTGAGAACTCTGCTTCTCTTTGCCTATTTAACATCCATTCATACAACACCAAGCCGTATCCTCAAGTGAATATTAGTTTATTGGATTGTTACGATTTCTGTTATTTACCTTTTACAATGTAAACACAAAGTCGAAAATCAATTAGACGAGGTAATTTGAGTCGCTGTTTATCGTTGTATTTAAGATGGAGTTTGTGTGCAGTAGATATTTGAGTGCATAAACAGTTTTAAGTGCAGTTTTAATCATAAACTAGAGAAGAAAGTTACATCGTCATAGTTAAGGTAAAGTACAACTTTTATTATTTTATATTATAGACTTCACTTTTGTGTATTTTTTATCTGGAGTGGATTAAAAATGTATAAGTTTAGCCTATGTGCACATATATACCAGGACTAGTTCAGTTCATGCGTAGCGTCATAAGAGTGCATTAGTAGTGTTTATATTCTGTGTCAAGACTGTTAAAACTTTGACCGTTTAATTGGTTACAAAATATATAAATCTTTAAGAGAGATTTAGGATGTTATCTATACAAACCGGACTTTATTACTGTGGTTTCAGCTCTTGTGCGCTTTTTACGTTTTCAATTGATAGGATATAGCAAAAATATGGTTACTGAAATATGTTTTAGTCTGTTCAATTTTAGACAGCCAGTCAAAAGTGATAAAAAGCATTCTGGAAAGAATAATATTGACTTGCCAGACATCTGCCTTTTGCCTGTAATTTATCACAATTTATTTGAATCCCATTTTTCTTGTGATGGCTGAATCAGTTAGAAAATATTTTAGGATTTTATGCCCTGTGATAGTGCCTAGGCTTTAAGTAAAGGTGATAGTATTTTAAAAGTATTTTTGTCAGCAGTCTGAATTGAGGCAGGTACAGAGGGTTTTTAAGGTCACTTTACTGTCTCAAATTGCCTTGCTGTATATTGACATGAGTCACTAGGATTTTAGATGGCTAATGATTGCTTTGACCTTGGCTTTGATGAGAAAAGTTTGAAACTTTGAAATTACTGCAAAAGTAAATAATTTTACTTCGGTTTGTTTTAAATTTCACATCGTTTTAGTAAGGGCACTCCCCTGATTAACCAATGTCCACTTTTTATCTTATAAACGTACATAATAATATAATAATAATAATAATTAAAATATAAAACTACAACTTAAAAATTGTTGCAAGTTCGCAATTGTAGATAATAAAGATGATTTTGTGAGGAGAAAAAGTTTTTGTTCTCTGCTCGGTAAGAAAGTTGTTCCATATGCTTGATTCGGAAAAACGCCCATACTGACAGACATAATGACAATCTATTATGCCTGTCAATTTGACACAGAAAATATGTAAATAACAGCTATTTTTGTAAAGGTCAAACTTTTTGCAGGCAGTTTTATCTTGTGGTATAATGAAGTTCGTTGTTCAAATCAAACTTTATTTGAATAACTGCCTGGAAAACCTTTAGGATTCGGGCTTTTAAGTCCCACAAATATGTATTGTACTTTTCAGGTCTTAGTGAATGTATTCAAACAGGCAACAGTACAAATACACGCCTCACCCTCCAGCGCTTAAATTTATTATTAAATAAATAAGATGGGGCTATGTTTCAGTGTTCACTGTGTTTTTTGTTTTTTTATAACAGTTTCAGTCTTTTGTTCAGAGGGTCTTCAGTCTTATAATTGTTTCAGTCTTTTGATTAGTAAACTCATTAAATACTGTGTAAACATGAAATAACCATAGTCCACTTTTGGAGTTGTGTAACTTTACCAAATTTAGTTTTAGTCAATTATAAAGGTAAACTATCATGCTTAGCTGAAAAATGTGAAATCCTAAAACTTATTAAACAATAGTGTGCTCCACCTGAACATTTATAAGTCACATTTGATCTACAGGTTGCGATAAATATTTAGAAATGGAATAATCTCCGCTGCATTACAGATCTGGGTTGTGTAAGCCGTACTGTGAGCCAGCAGTGTGGAGGCCTTTGGTTTTCTCTGTAACCGCTCGGCATGTCCACTGCCTCTTTGGGCTCACTGTTGTTGCTGATAGGATAATGTAATGTAGCAGCCTGCAGCGTTCGAGGGAGAGTGCGCAGCATGCACAGAGGTTCTGGCCGTAGTCTTGAGTGAGTGTGTTGGGCTGAGAGAGAGAGCGAGAGGGACAGATGAGGCGTGTGCCAGACTCCACCGCAGTCCCGCTGGCAGCCGGAAGGGCCTTTCGCTCGCAGCTTCGCTGTGCACAGGCGCTTCACAAAACAGTTTTTAAGCTCAGAGCCTGTTCCGTATGCTGTCATTATAGCAATTATGTCTGCAGTGAGCAGCGACCGCCTCAAACTTTAGAGCTGGTGGGAAAAAATAAAATTTTTTTGACATGCACTTTTGACGTTTGGTTTTTATTTTTAG